TATTTGTAAATCATAAAGATTTATAATATTTGTATCGTGTTAAACTTTTTTGTTTATAAGATTCTTATTCAATTCAAAATTTAATTAATAAAAGAGTGTTAGAAAAATTGTAATTTAGGTTCTGATTGATGAATATTACAAAGGTAGGGTAGGATGGGTAAATATATGATAATAATTGAGAAGCAAAATTCGAGATAACTTTTTTTATAAGAAATAAAAAAATAACAAAACGTAAATACATTGGACATCATTTGATTTTATTTTTTTTTACAAAAATACAAATTAATTTCATCTTCTCTACTTGTTTTATTTATCTTCTCAGCCAAATAAAGCGTAGAGTTTCCTGTCACAGCTACTCAGCTACTCCTTAGGTAATAGATACTGCCCACTTTCCACGTGAACAGAAAAGGAAAAAAATAGATAGGGTAAAAGCAGTCTAAAGAATTATCGGCCGAAAACTGAAGCAGAGATGATGCCTAACTGATTCCGTGAAAAAGGTTTCGTTTCGGTGAATCGCGATTTTCTTCCATGAAAAGCCCATCAATCACTCACTCAATGAAGATGTATTATTGATTCGTGACAACAAGTTAACCTAGTCACCACTTCAACCAAACCAGCCCAAAATGCCACCTTATCTTATTGGATTGTTGACGAAGATTTAAGTCCAGCTCTAACTGGCCTTAACCATATAATTTGATTTTGTAGTAAGGTTTTTTTTTTTTTTTCTGAACCTCTATAATTGCAGCTTCATATGATCAAAATATTTTTTTATTAGTTTTTATTTAAAATTTAAAAATTTATTTTATAGTACGTATCTCTTTTATTTTACTGTGGTTCCACGTTGAAGATTGTTTAAAGTCGATAAAGTGAGAAATTGTTAATGTATTTTTAAAACTTTATCCGAAATTTTAGATTAGGATTGAAAACACTCACTCCTAAATACATTGCCGAATACCTAATCTAAAAATTAATTTTAGAAACATAAACACGTTTTGACGAATAAAGGATTTATATTAATTATAGCGACGTGGAGAAAAGAAAGATACTTAAATGTATCCATTAATTTAGTGGAATCCAATTTCCTGCCCGTTATCTTTTTCTTCGTCTAATTTAAACACTCTCTCATATTTCAATTCTGAATTTTCAGTTAAAAATAAAAAATCAATAAAAAGAGAATTAAGAAGGATTTTCTCTGTTTGAAATAATTGTATTCTAAAGTGTTATTTTTTTTTTGTAAAAAAAAAAAAGTAAAAACGGAGGGTATGTTTTCAATTCCAATGCCGATCAATCCTTATATAAATTAGTATGTGATACATATTTTCATACTTTCAAAAAACTTAAAAAGGTATTTATTTTCAAAATCTTCTTACTAAACTTTTCTACTAATTCCTTTTTTTTTTTCAACGGTAGGTATTGTATATGTTATATATTTTATGACATTAAATGCATTTATTTTTCATTTTTTATTATATGATAGTTAATATTAAAAAAAAATTCCATACGAATGAAAAACAAAGATTGTTGATCAAAATTTTTAAATAGAATTTTGGACATAACACCGATAAAATATACTAAGTTAAAAGATTTTCATAACACTTGATCAATTAATCACGTTATCAACAAAATAATTAATAAAGCGAAATATGAATAAATAAGTATAGGATAAGTGTTAAAAATTAGAATACTTACAACATGACACATCATTTAGATATAAATTGAACATATTATCGAGATTAGTATTGAAATCTACAAATAAAAATATTTTAGGACGTATTTAACATGATATTACACAAATAACATATTACACAAATACTTTAAACTTATGTAATACGATTATTACTATTTATATTTACATTTACATTTTTATTTGTTTTTTTTTAAATCATTTAAAAACTTTCTATAGTGTACATTTTAATGTTACTTACAATTCTGCAATTTACTATTTTGTAACTTTTTTTTTGTCAATTTACAATCCTTTATTACATTTACTCACACTGTTTATAACTATTGTTTTTCAAATTAAGCCATGTGTTATTATTCTTTGCCCTTTTCGTATAATTAATTTAGTTTTTAAATTAACATTATTTTTTTCTAATTTATAAAATTGTTATTAGAAAATTAACAAAAATAGTTAAATTTTACTTATATATTTTCAATCAAGATAACGAAACTTCTGATAATCCAAAACATAAGTTTTAATATAGGATAAATCAAGCAATTTAATTATTTTTCATTAAATGTATCAAATCTGAAAAAATCATTATCTAAGTTAAAAATTATAAAACATCATTAGTTTACACAAAAACCTTACAACTATATTTATCTTTGGTCAATATTTGTTTTTTAAACAAAATGATAGTATACATGTTGTTTATATTTATCCGTGTTTCTTTCTTATTTTTACATTGAAATTATATTTTTTCTCTCATGCCTCCATTCTCATTCATTATTTTGTTTTCCAAGCTTCCAAATTGAATGGTTTCTCATCTTTCTTCCTTCGTTCTTTGACTTTCATTCGAAGCAAACTAAGTTTTATGTTGATGCTTCAAGTAACTTTAAGCTTTTCTTGCATACTTTCTTCATGATTTGGTCCTTAATAATAATTTTATTTATTTTTATCTCTAACATTACTAGTATCAATTCATGAACTTGACTTAAAACATCAAATCATTTGTAGAAGAAGATACACATTATTATTGGAGTTTAAGTGTAAACTTCAATTAACTTGACATTATATCTCATTGATTTGGACCTAACATCCTTTGGGCCTTTGGCTCACCTCTTTCTTAGGGTGAATTCAGGTGCGAGAAAAAGTCATAAATTTAATTCATTAAAATTTAAGGTTTAATAATATTATAGTTACTTATATAATTTGTTCTTTGTCTTCAACCCTTGTTTTCCCAGCAGCACATAAATGTTGAACTAAGCCCAAATTATAATAATTTATTTATGATTATTTTTCCTAATTTAACTTTCTTAAATAAAAATGAGAAAACTACAAGGTGACCGATTCTGAAGTGTGCGTATCAGATTTATGGAGGGTATAAGGTGGCAGCTTCATCTTCAAGATTGCTTTATAATACTAATGAAACAAGACCGGTTCTTCAAGTTTGATGTTCCAAAGTCTAAATCAATTTAGTAAAAGAAAAAGATAGTATCTCACAACTTTATTGTTGTGATACTAAGATTTACCAAAATTCATTCGTCCATCTCCAGCACAGAAGACACACCATGTGTTTGGACTTGTAAAAGAATCAATCTCTACACAGAAAAAGCAGTGTAAGAAACTGCGATGTGGCCTTTTGACCATTTGCAAAATAAACAACAACCTTCGGGTACTTGCCTCACTGGAAAAAAAAAATGAAATTGATTTATTCACTCCACCCTGATTGCACAGCACAACCTTTGTGTGTAAAAACATGCAGTGTTTCATATGCTAGAAACAGACTCGTTGTGCCACAAGACCTTGGCGCAGTTAAAAGCCATAGTTCAACTTCGGCATCTGAACACAAGTGAGAGGAACACTTTCAAAACAAAGGGAATCAATACTTACCATCAATCACCTCAGACAAATACCAAATAATCATGTATTCCAACTCAATCTCAGTAAGCCATGCACTCTGGCTTCCTTCTGTCACGGCCTGGAAGAACAAAATTCTGGGACCAATTAATATAAAAGCGCACTGAAATAATAAACAGAGCAATTTTCTCTCTTCTTTTAAACTAAGGCCCTTCTTCCTCAAGACACTAGCTATCATTAGTACCCTAATTCTTCATCTATTTTCCCCCTTGTATGCGAAAGATTTGAGAGCATATCAGTGAGGAAGGATATGAAACAAGATGGCCTACACAAGAGGGATTCATGATACAAACTACTAAGATATAAGTCCTGTTCTTTTAACTTGTCAGTGTTACAACATAATAATGTTTTACAAATGGTACTGCCCAAATTCAAAACCACTTATCTTCAACAAATCACACCAAAACGACAGTAGTGCTGAATAATCAAATTTCTTACACTTTCTTATTAGCATCCTAGTTAAGAATGTTTCAACATAAAATTTTAACCAAAAAGACTACGTTTAAGAAACCACGACCAAAATCAATCTCCTAAGCAGATGAAGTCTCAAAATGCAAACCAATAGCATAAAATTGTGAAGCATTACCCAATAACAAGAATAACCGAAGAATGCATTGAAAACATATTCAAATGCCTAAGCTACATTTTATGACATTGAACAGCTGATATGATCAATCCAAAGATACGCTGGAGTAGAGTTGCAGGCTAAAAAAGAAAAATAATGAGGTATATATGCAGGCAAAATGACTAGCCCGTTTTATAAAAGCTTGAGTAGAATACAACCTTTGTCTAAATGAATGGAATGTTGCCATTAGCAGAAAGAAGAATCCAAAAGAGAAGCTGAGTTACAGAACAAAATCCGTCCACCTAAACGGTTTCAAGGAATGCCACCAAAACACTCATTTATAATTCAACCAGTCAATTAATTCCCCTTAAGGCCTTGGAGGGCCTCAAAATGGAGATGGCCAGCCACAATCCCGCAGAAACGAAAGCAAAGGTAGCGATAAAACGATTTTTGCCACAATCAGAAAAGAAATAAATGACAAAATCTACCTGGGAAGGACGTATACAATAATTAACAAAAGATAAAAACAATAGTGAAAGCAATAAAGATTTTAATTATATTAAAAAAAAACAGCATAATAATCCAACTATAATTGTATAACATCTAATTAGCTTTTGCATCCCCGAAACACCAATGCAAAATTGAACCTTTTTGATGTCTTTGATATCCCATTTACAGAATAAACTAAGCAGCAGCGGACCAGTTAAAGCCCAACAACCACAAATTGAATAAATCCCCCATTCCCACTCTCTAGCACCAGCACCATGTACAGGTAACACAACATCAACCCACGACAAAAAAATCCTAAAAGCTGAGCTAAATCAACATGACTGTGACCAATCATACCTCACCCTCTCAAATCCCTTTCCACCGAGGGCTCGGAACCGGCAGGGTGGGAGAAAGCGGAAGCGGCGGAAACCCTAACGGTCCCGAAGTTGGGGAAAACAGAAGGCCCGGCGAAAGGAGAGGGTAAGACGCCAGCTGCGAATTCAAGCACCCAAACGGCACAGGAGAAGATGGCATCTGAAACGAGGCTTGCAAAGGAACCATGGCTTGGTGCTGCGATTGTTGTTGTTGTTGTTGTTGCTGCTGCTCTTGCGGAGGTTGAAGCTGAGGCGGCAAGGGGGAGAAGCCGGAGAAGTGTTTGGGGTTTGAACCAACTAGATTCTGCAGATCGCGCATGTAGGCGGAGATGGGGGACTCGGCGGGCGCGTGGACGGTGGGGAACGGTGGGAGAGGGGATAACGGCGCGGGGGGTCTAGCGAAGACGGAAAAGTTGTTGAAGGAGACGGTGTTAGAGTTGACGTTAGGGAGCTGAGGACGGGGGAGGGTGGTGGGGTTGAGGAGCGGGGGTGGGCGGTTGGTAATTTGCGGCAAGGGAGGAGGGCGAATCCGCTGGAGGCGCGAGCTGGGAGGCTTGGGCTGTTGAATGGGAGGAGGTGTTGAGATGCGGTCGTGCCCAGGTGAGCCCGTCAGTCTCTGAACCACATCCCTGAATTCGTTCTTGTTGATGTTGTACACCGGCGGCTGATGCTGCAGGTTCTGCTGGGCTTGCGTCTGCGGATTGGTGTTTGGGTTTGGGTTTTGAGGTTGGGTCTGGGTCTGGGTCTGGGGATGATCAAAGGTGGGTTTTTTAATGATGGGTTTGGAGATCTTCTGAGAAAGCTTGTTAAGGTGCCTGAGATATTGATCCCTGCTGTTGTTGCTGTTGCTAGCAGAGGTTGTGCTTATACTAGTATTAGTAGACTCTGCAGAGGGATGACAGCTTTTATCCATTACAAAACAATTCCAAAACTCTCTCACTCTGTTTTGTTTTTGTGTTTTCAACAGAGCTGTGTTGTGTTGGTGGGTTTCTTTGTGTGGTGCTGGACTTCCTCTTATCGCAGCAGAAGGCGAGTAGGGACAGAGGAGACTATATACTATATATTATTAGTACACAGAATATTATTATTATTATTTTCTAGGGCTTCAAACTTCCCTCACTCTTCACACTTCTCACACCAAAATAAATAGTCTCCATCAATTTTTTTTCACTGCCAATGAGTAACCTCTAAACCAAGCACTTTGAAGGGTGAGATAAAAAAAAAAAAAAATCTGTCTCTTTTTGTGCTTCCTTCTTTCTTTTGTGCCCCTCTTTTCTCTTTCGCTGCTTTTTATATGTTTCCTAGGGCTTAAAAGAAGAGAACAGACAACCATAGCAAAAGAAGGGAACTCATTTTATTAGTGTACATGATTTTTCTTCCCTTCTTTATTAATTATATTAAATTAAACAAATCAACTATGATCTTATCTTCTAATGAGTGAATAAGCATTTGTCACACTGAATGTAGTGGAGAGATTGAAACACTGTATCTTAGACAAAATTTATAAATTCAAACTGATTTTTTGGACTGACATGTTAATTTTTTTTTTTAAATAAGAATTATGTATACCTTGTCATTTTAATATCTGAACACTACATTTTGTGCTTATAACGGTTAAAATATTGTTAATTAATGATTTTTAATAACATATGATGTTGGTGGAACTATATTTTTAGAATCTATATGGATATTTATTGGGAATGGTTCATTAATTCAAATCTGTAAATGAAATTTATAAAAAAATATTATAATAGTTTATTTCGTTACCCCACATGATTCAAATCTATATGAAAAATTACTTATTAAAACATTAATTCGTTTCTATATAGAAAAAACATTAATTTACTGTCTAAAATTATTATTATTATTCTTAATTTTAAAAAATTATTATTATTATTATTTTGAAAGAAATTTAATATTAACATTATTATCATGAAAGAATTTTAATATTGTTATTATTATTTTGAAAGATAAGACATATTTATCTTCATTACAAAATACATTAACTTATTGTATCAAATTAATAATATTAATTCATTTATCACTTCACATTAGCAAACAATGTTCAAATTCTTAATCAGTTAATTTGATTGATCAAAATGGTTTATAATATTAAATTTGAATTTTCTAATTTGGAAATGTTGTAATTAAGTTAATAAATAGTATTAATTTTATATAATATAATTAAATTTGTATTTTAAAAAAATCAAAGAAGTTCATTATAACCATTATTAATAATTAAATTAATACTTTGTGTATCATATAAATAAGTATTATTATTTTAACTTTTATATAAAATAATATTAATTCAATACCAAATATATTCTTTACTTACATTGAAGATAAAATTGTTGTTTCCTAATAAAATATATTTGAAATATTTTTTAATTTTAGTTCTAGCTTAATCTTTAAATATATATTTTTGTTCATTGTATAAAATTATGTAACAATTAAAAAAAAGTGTAACATAAAAAAAAATCTCATTATAATAGATGGTTAGAATATATATATATATATATATATATATATATATATATATATATATATATATATATATATATATATATATATAATTCTTCGAGTTAACTCTTTAAAAGAAAGTTGGGTACTCCCGTTATGAAAAAAATTACAAATGAATGTGCTGTGAACAAATACAAACTAAAAAAATTCATCAAGACGAATACATGATTTAAAAGAAACGAGACTAATTATTTCTGATAAAATTTTATTTAATATTTAATAATTAATATTTGTTTAGAAAGAGGACATGTCCACTAGGATTGATTAAGTTTTATTGATTTGATGAGAGGATGATTAGTGGTTGTGGGGAGTGACATTTTAAGCATGTAATTAATGAGATCACTATTTCCAAAAGTTTCTTCCATATTTCCTATTCTGGTCAAAAGTCCGTTATTATGTACTGTGCTAGTCAGTGATTCCATGGAACGATTTTCCAAACTTCCAAAACTCTTTTGACCATATCCCCATCATAATTACCTCTAATTCTCTTTTCTCACCACTACTTAAGAAGAGAACTGGACAAATATTCAAAAAAATTTAATCCAAATAAAGCTGCAAAAAGCTGATATTATGTGTTACACGTTATAATTCATTCAATGCAACTTTCACCACAGGTTGTGTCTTTCATTGGGGTAGTTTTTTCATTCTTATAAATAATATATCATGATTTTTTTAATTATTTGTAACTTCAATTTATAATTTATCTAAATTTATTAAAAATAATATATAAGGATTAAAAATGTACAAATTTAAATATAAATATTAAAAAATATGTTTCATTATAAAAATTAAATAAATATTTATACATATTTCAATTAAAGAAAGATTGACTCACTTTTTTATATATATTTTAATCCTAGACAGATATACAACAAAATACTAATATATTTTATTATCAAATTTAGTTAAAAACACTTGTTTTTTTAACTACGAAAGGAACAGATATGTTTGAAGTTTTATTTGTAAAAAAATAAAAATAAAATTATTTCTGTAATTTATAATACAAATACAAATATAATAAATAATTATATATATAATCAATTATTTTTTTCACGTATGAATGCACATGTATACACACAAGTGAAAAGATCAATTATATATCTATATGGGAATACACTGTACATTATAAAAATATAATAAAATAATATATTATAAACATATAGTCTTTTATTTTTTTATATATAATTAAAAAAATATAATATTACAAACTTTAAATCTTTCATTTTATTAACAAATAAAAAACTATGTCTCTCATGTTATTTTATTTTTCATTCCCTTCTATTTTCTCCTACTGCTTACAATTAAATAGTGTATAACATGATTATCTAAATTTAATATATTAATCTTAATTTTTAAATTTAACAATTTAAGGTTTGTAAATGTACGTTAATTTTATAGTTCAAGTCACATCTTTTTTAAATATATTTATTTATTAATATTTATCATTTTATTTTATTTAAAAATATTTGACTATATATTTTTTATTTAAAATTTTTATCGTTTTAACTATACAATTATTTTTAATTTTGATAAGTTTAACCGTTATAATAGATAAAAGTCAAATTATAATAAAAATCATGAAAATAAAAATTATTTTAATATATTATATTCGATAACTTGTATAATATTTTCATTAATAAAAAAGGTACAATAGATATATTATTATATATTATTTTTTAATAAAAACTAATAACCAACTCAACATATTAACATTATAATAAGCAAAAACATCATAAGACAATAGAAAAAAACTGCAACTATTTAGTCAACACAACACAGTTTTATAGAAATTAAACCGTGGCATTTTATCCTATAACGCACGCCACCAACGCTGTCAAGCAATTTGAAAAAAATAAAAAAAGCATGTGAGACACGTGGGAACTTGTTAACATGAAAAATTATTATTACTATATAAATATTAAATATATAATATTTAATCAATATATTATTTATCCTTTTAATAATATCAATAAATATATATATATATATATATATATATAAAGCAGTTAATTGATTTAAATTTATTAAAACACATTTTTCATAATATTTTAACATGAAATTATCAAATTTTCACTGTTCTTTTTTAATTATTATTTTAATTTAAATATCATAATTTAAAATGTTGGATGTTGTTTAAAATAAAATAAATTAAAAATTAAAATAAATTTTAAGAGTCTAACAAAAGTAGTTTAATTAAATAAAAAAATACAATTTTATTAATTAAAAGTAAAAAATTATAAATAATAAAAATAAATATTTTATTCTTCATTTATATAAAATACTATCTTTTTAAAAACCTATTTATTTTAAAATTTTCTATAATTTTAAACTTAAAATCTTTATGTTTTTAAGTTTAATTTTTTTTAAAATAATACTACAAATTATTGTCATATTGTTTAATTTAAGAACAATTTATATAAAAATAAAAGGTTAATATATATATATATATATATATATATATATATTTATATAATCACTATTTATATTTATATTTTTATAAACTTAGACCACAATTTATTTATTTACTAACTCACGTATACATTTTCAAATATATTATAAATATATATATATATATATATATATATATCAAAGTTTCAACCAAATGCAATGGAATTCTTATGCCTTGTCAAATATATTTTAAAAAATATAACTCATTTGATTTTTATTTTTACTTTTTTAAATTCTTTATATATATATATATATATATATATATCAAAGTTTCAACCAAAAACATATATAATTTTACCAAAATTGTCAATTATTTAACTTTTGTTATTACATACCTGAATTTTCAACTAAATTTTAATAATTTCTTATTAAACAACCACCTAATGAAATTAATCTCATGCAAAAGAGTTAAAAATACCTAATTTAATAAATTACAAAATATGTTGGAACAGGCACATGCATCTTCACATTAAAATATAAATGCTATTAGTTTTAGCCTACGTATTTTCGTATCATGAACTCATATATTAAAAGAGTTTCTCAACAACTAAATTTACAGCGTAACAAAGAAATTAATTTTAAAATATTAATAATGCAGCTTTTTTAGTATATGTATTTTAGAATAAGAAAAAAAATTAGAATTTTAGAATCAATTTAAAAATAAAAATATATTCTTAGTTAAGTTATAAAAAATTCTATAAATAAATTATTAAACAACTTATTTTTCATGATCTAAAATATACTGTCTTAATCTTTATAATTTTTAGATTTCGTCTCCCAGAACTTTTTATTAAAATTCTATTTCAACTAAATTCATAGTGTTATTGATTAAGAATTTATTTTAAACCACGTTTAAGTAAAGAAACGTTAAAAAAGAAAAAAATAATATATAAAATATTTTTGTTTAACTAATCATGAAAGTACACAAGCGAGTTATTTATAGAG